TGCCTGGAAATACATGGAAAACATCCCTGAAATACAGAAAAAACATCCCTGAAATACAGAAAAATAATGCCTGAAATACAGAAAAATAATGCCTGAAATACAGAAAAAACATCCCTAAAATACATAAAAATACTGCCTGAAAATACATAAAAATACTGCCTGAAAATACATTAAAAACATGCCTAAAATACATAAAAAACCTCCCTAAAATACAGAAAAAACCTCCCTGAAATACAGAAAAAACCTCCCTGAAATACAGAAAAAACCTCCCTAAAATACATAAAAATAATGCCTGGAAATACCATAAAAATACTGCCTGGAATACATAAAATAATGCCTGGAATGCATAAAAATAATGCCTGGAAATACATGAAAAACATCCCTAAAATACATAAAAAACCTCCCTGAAATACATAAAAAACATGCCTAAAATACATAAAAATACTGCCTGGAAATACATGGAAAACCTCCCTAAAATACATAAAAAACATCCCTAAAATGCAGAAAAATACTGCCTGAAAATACATAAAAAACATGCCTAAAATACATAAAAATAATGCCTGAAAATACATAAAAACCTTCCCTAAAATACATGAAAAACCTCCCTAAAATACATAAAAAAGCTCCCTAAAATACATAAAAATAATGCCTGGAAATACGTTAAAATCCTGCCTAAAAATCCCCAAAATCCTGCCTGAAAATACAGAAAAATCCCATAAAAATCCTGCCGAAAATACATAAAATCCTGCCTGAAAATCACTGAAAATCCTGCCTGAAAATACATTAAAATAATGCCTAAAAATCACTGAAAATAGTGGCTGAAAACCCCCAAAATCCTGCCTAAAAATCCTGAAAATAGTGGCTGAAAATCCTGAAAATACTGCCTGGAAATACATTAAAATAATGCCTGAAAATCCCCAAAATCCTGCCTGAAATACATAAAAAACTTCCCTAAAATACATAAAAATAATGCCTGGAAATACATAAAAAACCTCCCTAAAATACAGAAAAAACATCCCTAAAATGCATAAAAATAATGCCTGGAAATACATTAAAATCCCATAAAAATCCTGCCTGAAATCCCATAAAAATCCCATAAAAATCCTGCCTAAAATACATAAAAATCCTGCCTGAAAATACATGAAAATCCCATAAAAATCCTGCCTAAAATCCCATAAAAATCCTGCCTGGAAATCACTGAGAATCCTGCCTGAAAATCCTGAAAATTCTTCCTAAAATTCCGTAAAAATTCCATAAAAATCCCCTAAAAATCCTGAAAATCCTGCCTAAAATCCATAAAAATCCTTCCTAAAATTCCATCAAAATCCTGCCTGAAAAACCCTGAAAATCCTGAAAATTCTTCCTAAAATTCCCTAAAAAATCCATTAAAATCCCATTAAAATCCCGCTTAAAATTCCATAAAAATCCTGCTTGAAAATCCTGAAAATCCTCCCTGAAAATCCTGAAAATTCTTCCTAAAATTCCGTAAAAATTCCGTAAAAATTCCATTAAAATCCTGGTTGAAAATCCTGAAAATCCTGCCTGAAAATCCTGAAAATTCTTCCTAAAATTCCGTAAAAATTCCATTAAAATTCCATTAAAATTCCATTAAAATCCCGCTTAAAATTCCATAAAAATCCTGCCTGAAAATCCTGAAAATCCTTCCTAAAATTTCATTAAAATTCCATAAAAATTCCATTAAAATTCTATAAAAATTCCATAAAAATCCTCCCCTAAAAATAGCGACCAAAATAAAAATTAAATGATATAAAACCTGATCAAACCGTCCATGAAAATTAAAATAAAATGATATAAAACCAGATTCAAATCTCGATTAAAATAAAAATGAAATTACACAAAACCAGATGAAAATCTCGATCAAAATAAAAATAAAATCGCATAAAACCAGGTAAAAATCTCAATAAAAATAAAAATAAAACTACACAAAACCAGATAAAAATCTCGACAAAAATAAAACTAAAATCCCCCAAACCCAGGTGCAGATCTCGATGAAAATCAAACCCAAATCTCCC